TACCCGGCTAAGTTTACCGCTGGGAGCCTTGACCCCTTGTCAGTCTACCCGTATGTCTATTCCATGACTCGATAGAAAGCATTAACCCGTTGAAATACAACGTTGTTTAATCGTACGCACGCCCTGCCCAAAAGCTGTCGTAATCGGTGTTTAGGTAGATAGTTTTCGTTCGAGGCGTAAGCAGGGTTAACAGGGTCTCATGAACGACTTCATAAGAGTCGCTCCCTTGACACGCGAGCATTAGGCACGCGAGGAGGGAGGGTTGCAGCGCAGTAGTCGGATTTGGGCCTACAGAAAAACATTCTGCGAGACGCCTAGAGACCTGCCGTCAGCCGTCGCAGGCCTCTCGTTGCACGCCGGAATAGCGCCTACCCACTCTGCACCTAGATTAGGTATACTTGAACATCTATGTCTTTGACCTTGCAAGGTATGAGCGCTACCAATGTATGGTTGACCACTCGGTATTCTGTCGACCTAAAAGATAATAGGAAGACCTCCCCGAAAATTATCGGGCGGTTCGCTCACGAGGAAAATAATCCATTCTAGTATTTCGGGTGAGGCCATCATCTCCAGGCTGCCACCAGGAACATCCCCCACACATTGCTAAGGATTTCGGGTAAGTAATGTAGTTGTGTGGATGTAGACGGAAGGAAGTTTCGGTATATGACGTTGCCATATCTATGCACTACACAGTACTTCACGTTCCAATTGCAGCGATCAAAGTACCCATGCTGTAGCACAAACCCAGCGACTTCTCTGGTTTACACCTCGTGACTGCCATTGTAGACAATAATGCACCAAAGTACCTCCTGTGAGTATTCGCCGACCGGTTATTTTCGGAGATGCGCCCGCCCCATCGGCGGGTAACTGTTACTTTATACAGCTTGGGTTGCGTGAACGGGTAGGCCCAAGGACTATCAACAGACTCGGAGGGGCAACGAACACTCAATTTACTCCACTTTCATTGACGTCCACGACCTCCACTCGGGCGAGAGAACTCTGCAACCGAGTTCGCTACATGTTTGTAATGGTATTCCTGACCTGGAATTCCTAACATTTTACGGGCTTTCATGCGGAACTCATTCGAATACTCCAACAATCGAAAATTTCTGAATAGGTCGTTAGATAACGTCTAGCGCTTCGGCAATGGGAGCCGCGTAATGGCGAGCTCGGATCACCAGTTACATGTAATTTGCCCTCCGGATTCACTCAAATCCGAGTACGACGTCTGCGATGAATTGCGAAAATATAATGTGTGTCTCGGTATTCGGCATAGGGATCCGCCTAGCTACCCTTAGCATGATCTGTATGCCCAGATTAAACTCCTTACTATGTCACATGCGATATAATACTAACCTCACTCCTTAGCTGATCTCGCGTGTCGCGCAACGTTCGTGATAATCTATGCACACACCACGTGTGCTTAACGATCCGACGACCGACAACTTCTAAGTAGGTTATATTTCACGGAGGTTGCACATTTGTTAGTAGTACTTTCCAGATCTGTTCCGCCACGAACCCTGCTAACGCGCAATACCGAGGATCCATATCTAAAATCGTTGAGGACTGACGAAGCTTTGTGCCCTAGACCAACCCCGTTTTCGATTGAGGAAACTAGCCGTCCCTGGGTAGAGGAATCATCTGATACGCATGCATAATAGCAGAATATGAACGGAAGTGTGCTTTTCGAACCCTTACGCTATGTTACGGAACTGTTTATCCGATGTTAAGTGAACCTTAGATAATTTATCGTAGAACGTTTCCGACGATCACTTTCCGGTGGGCGAAAGTGTTAACGCAAGGAGTTTGGAATTGATAGGTATAAGCTGTCTGAAAATCCGAAGTAAATGCGTGCTTGAAGCAGGATGCCCTACTAGCAAGAGCCCATCGCGGGACCGGGACCATGACATAGAATCCTAAAGGGACCAACTACGACGTCTGCTAGGACTAGGTAGTAAACATTTAATCTTGTCGTACAATTAACAAAACGGTTGGCGTGGGCTCTAATATGTAATTTCATTCGCTCGCAGAAATAAGGCATTTGCAAAGGCGGACGAACTTGACTTGAACTCGCTGTTCCCGCTCTTTACTCACTCGGAGGCCAGAACCTGAGCCATGCGCGGTCCTTAAGATCCCAACTGTGAGGCACACAGTTTTCTCCAATGCTTTCTCCGCGGTTTGTAATTGCCTAGGATTGAACTACTGGCTATCGAAGAAAACGCTTGCTATGAGTGGTGGATCACTCATGTTTGCAACCAAGCGTTCGGTTCACCCTTCACGCCCAAGCACTACATATCGCCACGATGGGTCTGGCAGCTCAATTTTACAGTATTTCGAGCGGATATCCCTGACCATTCACCTTAAATGCTGCGTACTTGCCCGAAAGCCCGGTTATGGTCCGAAGCATTTAACAAGCGAAGTTAACAAACCAGCATTCCGTGATGCGAACGAAGTTTACATGCTATTTAACTAACTGGATCCTAGTTGAACACATTTATCTCCATTGCTAGGCATCGGTGAAAGAGCTACTCTGGTGTAGTGTATTGGCTCTATACTCATCGAAACGCAAGGTAAATTAAGCCCGTCATTAATTTATCGTCTTCGACGGTCGGAGAATTGATACGCCAAATCCCACGGGCTAAGCCTAGTAAAGTAGTTAAGCGCCTCACGGTGAATGGGGCAGATCCAGGGGCCGAGTATTAAAGGATAATAGATATCAGGATAAACAGGGCCGTGGCGTGGAGCAAAATTGACAGAGTTCTCACGTGTGACATCTGTCATAGGCGACACAGGAAGTTACAGATATTTGGTCACAGCCCCTTAGATCCTATGACACTATACAGGTCAACGGGCTTCGTGTAGCGTTCCATTTGAGTCTAAGGCGGCTATCGTTCTTTAATTTATATAGCTAATCATAATTATGAAGTGTATGTCGACCATCGTCACTTAATCCCCAAGATACCAAGTTCTAGGGCACGCCGGCCTATATCGGTTAGCTAAAAGCGTTACAGTGCTCGGACGCTCGCGGAAACAACCGAGTAGAGAAGCCTCATCCCCGTAATCATTCCTCTATAACTGTGATCGAGTCTTTATCTGTACCGCACCACCACCTTCATTTGCGCGGGTCACGACACAGAATGTATCGTCCACAAATCAAATAAGGTCGGTCGTAGCGTCCAGACATGATCACCTCGGATGGTTCCGTACAAAAGGTATTTAGTTAGTGGACTCCGACTCTAATTGGACGTAGACGATCTCGGCTATTCGGCGTGGTCGGCTTATGCATGACCGGGTCACTAAAAGGTACTACTTACCTGATGGGCAAGCGTGTTCAGGGGTGTCCCCTATGGGACCACTCTTGACCCGAGGGCCTGCGATGTTATAGAATCCTGGCGTTATCCCTTATTCCATTCTGTAACTGCGGACACGACAGGACGTTTAGATTGAGCCCATATTATCTACGCGTTACGTGGGCAGTGAGCGGGAGAGAGTCGACAATTTTTGGCCCACAGTATTACACCCTGATTACAGATTGTCGGACTCGTAACGGAATTCTTGGTTTTGAGGATCGTACCGACTCGGTAATAAAAGGAGATGCTATCCACGATTGTAGATACCCGTTATATATGTCACTTTATCGTGAATTGTTGGTATAAACATCATAATCAATTAGAATATGCACTAACCCTTGCCCTTAGACGAGCGGCCATCGTTAGAGTACCATTGCTTAGATTCGCGATTCTTCCTTTTGAAGTCAATCTGAATTTTTTAGTTGAAGTTACATAAGTCTGCGGCCACTGACAGGGATAATCTTTCTGTCGGCTCCGACTCCCAGAGCCCATCCACCTTTAGAGATTCCATCTGACCGATCCGCAACATAAAAAAGAATAGCCTCTAATAACATCAAAGCCTGGCTGAAACGCTTCGAAAAATTGCAAATTACTCCCCAGTTGGTTATGCACCGCCAATCAATTCTTTAGGGAGAACACTAAAAGAAGAGTACCTGACCTTTGTCACACCTCGTCATGTTCTCTTGTTTTAGACGACCTATTGCTCCCTAAGGAGGTCGAGTTCACCGGTATTGCCGACGTAATCGACCAAGCAGGCAGCTACACGCGCAAGAGTCGGTATGCCACGCTTCGTGGAAGGAAACAATATCCCATGGCATTTATCTTTGCTGCGCAATGGCCGGGTTCTGCAGGTGCGGTTGAGGGCCGAATTCGTGGGAGCACACATGCTGCTAACATCGGGAATATTCTCATACTCCGTCATGCCCTTGTACGGCAGTTGTTATAATCGAGACCGTCCAGATATGCAGTCAGAGATATTTGTCCTACCTTTTATATGACCTTCTAGGCGTTCCAGCCCGACAGACAATGAGCTGGACGTGATCATTGCACCAGTGACCTTACCGTATACTTAGCCTAGGATAAAGATATCTCTGAGTCCCCTTCGTTCCCCTTAATAATATTAAGCAACATAATTGGGGAGAACTAGTAGCATGGCTAAAATCGTTTTGAAACGAGGAGCCACAGATTCTCAATCCTTATGGCTCCCCGGGATGCTACGGTGCACACGCCATCCCACTTTGCCGTTCGCTAGATCTAGAGAAGAGTCCTCAATGGGTGTCTGATCCGTTCCCCTCAAGTATTTCGGAGAGCCGAGCTTGAGGTGTTACTTTTGTTTATATCTCCTGTGTTGACAGGCTACGGTCTACGAAGAGTCGTCTGCCTTCCAACCGGTAGCCTGATACCCACCATCTCTTATGTCTCGCGTGTTATCGTGTTCCCTAACAAGATGTATTATCGAAGAGTCTCTGTATACAAAATTGATCGCCTTTCGGCGCTTGCACCAAACTTGCTCTCTTAGGATACGATATCCGAATTGATGAGTATATCAGCAAAGTCATGGAGCCGCAGGTACCCCAAGCTCACCTGAATAAGCAGGGCGCTTAGCAGTTGTGGGACGTTGGCTCGGGCCTGTTCTAGGTTTCTTGTCACTCAGTCGCCGTGGTTGGTACAGGACAAGGTCCTGAACCTAGGCCACAGAGACTACGTCACCATTAAATCATAAGCGTAGACCTGACAGCTGTGGTTTTCAACTGATGTCGTACATGTAAGTTATAGAGTACCACGGACGGTTGCCTCCATCAGCACGATCTGAAGTCGTCTGCTCCGGCCCCATTCCTACACGCCGCTTTGGGGCAGGAAAACCGCAGATACTGCCCCCCTGACTTTTGATGAATCTGTGCCTTCAGTGACGAATGTTGAGGAGGTGCTATCCTGAATGGAATGGGACCGACACCATTGTGGTAGGTATTACTTACCTCTCCGAATATTTACTATCGGAGGGTCCGGGTTTTAACATGCTCTACTAATCGCCATGGCCACTGTTCAACATATGGATAGATACGATTCCGTTTATTTTGGGTGCCGGTGCTGTCACGGATAGCTTCCACACTGTTAAGTCGCCGTCAGACGGCCGAGTTCGGAACCTACCCATACGGACCGTTTTCGCGAATTTTTGCTTGAGATGGTTATCCGCTAGAATTCGGGTGGAGAGGCAAAAACGCACTGCACTTTTACGGGGGACTTCTGCTAGCAGGTTGCCCTTCGTCTGACTCGGGCTCTTCGTGTTTTAGAATGCTTCGAGGATTGGGGGAGGTTCTCATCCCCGCATGTACATGAACGCCCACATGTCTCGGAACACTTGAACACGATGCCCAGAAACTCCGCCTACCTAACTGGCCCCGTGTAAACACAATATATTCGTGGATCCCCACTGAACCTTACTTCGGACTCGAGATGAACCTAAACATGTGCTACAATATGGGTACGGGCGTATCTGACGGCGAACGATCATGAGATAAGTCTTTATACCACCGCACTAAAGTATAGGACGTATGAAAGCCCGGAACGCCCTCTCTGAATTGAGCCCTCCACTTCACAGGACATGTTTCCATAGAATGACTAAAGCCGGAGAGTGTAACGTGACACTAA